CTGTCCCTCAGGATGTTCCTATCGGCCAGTCTGTTAAGAATGGTTTCTTTGATAATCTTTTCTAAGACCTTCCTCAAGATAGAGGTCATGCTGATGGGCCTGTAGTTTGCTGGATCTGCTTTCCTCCCTTTCTTGAAGATAGGTACCACATTGGCCTTCTTTCAATCTTTGGGCAATTCACCAGAGCGCCAGGAGTTCTTGAAGATCTGTGCCAGGGGCTGAGCTATAATACTAGCCAGCTCCTTGAGTACCCTGGGGTGTAGACTGTCAGGGCCGGCTGACTTGAAGGTATCCAGCCTCCCAAGGTGCTCCTTCACAAGGTCAGCATTGATGGAGGGTAAGGAATCTCCCTCACCCGGGCCTTCCCGTCCCATAATGGGACTGGTGAAAAACCAACGCCAAGTACCCATTTTGCAAGTTGGCTTTTTCCTGGGCATCAGTTGTCAGTTGTCCCATCTGGTTTAGCAGGGGTCCAATGTTGCCCTTACTTTTCCTTTGGCTCCCCACATATCTAAAAAAGGACTTTTTATTGTCCATGATACTTGTAGCTAGTTGGAGTTCAGCTGCAGCCTTGGCTTTCCTGGTTCGCTCCCTGCAGGTCTGGACCAGTGCAGAATATTCCTCCTTGGAGGTGGATCCAGTCCTCCATCCTTTGTAGGTCTTTCTTTTTAGGTGCAGGAGGTCCGCTAGTTCCCTGCAGAGCCAAGGAGGCTGCTGTGCCCTTTTGCTGCCTTGCCTCCAAGATGGGATAGACTTTGCTTGTGCATCCAGGATTGCTCCCTTGAGGAGCAACCACTCATCCTGAACTCCCCTCCTCTTTGGGTCATTGATGCTGGGCACCATCTACACTTAAAACAAAGGAACCATGCTATAATCACCATCTGATCATCAGAGTAGTTAGTTTTAGCTGCACAAGCCTTCTGTGAATTTCTTTCATGGTGTATTACTATCTGTTAGTCGGTGTCAGTTCCTCTGGGAAAGGGTTAAACGTGCTCGGCTGAGTCACCAGTGCAGGTGATTGATAATCCCAGTTGGGTAGAAGGGGGCGTGGCAGAGCCTCAAGGGAGAGAGGATATTGGGTATGGGCTGAGTAGTCCAGTGTGAGGAGCCCCAGTGAGCAGACAAGGTAGTGAGGAAGGTGACAGCTGATGTTATCTTATTGTTGCTTTGATGATAAAGCCAAACTCCAAGAGAAGGTAGTTTGGACTCTATGAAGTGTGTGGGCTATGTTTGCAGGGCAGATTAGAAAAGGCACCTACCTGGAGCCTTTGTCTCATCTAATAATACAATACTCCAGCAGCAAACATCTTTGCATGAGCAAAGATGGGCCCATATCACACAGGTCAGGGGAGATCAAGACGACCTACATTTTGTGGGAAAGAAGTATGTTCTGGATTCCACCAGACAGGATAGAAGCAAAAGTCAGCTCCTAAATCAAACTCGCTTTCAGCTCAGGAGGTTGGGTTCACTCTGTGAGATGGCTGCCAACAAATAGGAGAGGGACTTGCTAAAAACAGGATAGTGGCACCAGGCCAGGACAGCTCAGAAACCCCACTGACTTATCCCAGTGAAGGAAAGAAAGGGAACTCAGGGTCAAGCCCACAACTCTGGTTGAGCTGAAGAGTCACTGGCTTTGGCAACTGCTAATCAGACAATTTCCCCAGGATAGGCCATTGTGTTCACAGAGCCCTGATGGATTGTGAAACATGGCCCCTGGGCAGGGATTGGGCAGCCTCCTCTGCATCACCCTTATCTCTCCTTCCTAACAGCACCTTCCATAGTTCATTCAAGAGCCATGTCCAGGTCATCAAGAGCTTATGGAAAATAACAGAGTGAGAAGCAGACCTCTGCAGTTAATTAATTATTAGCCTCTATTAATGCTGACTCTGAGCTCTGCAGGGATTTCAAGGCTAGCTGAGCCTAGAGAAGAGGAGAAAGTACAGATGTAAACTGGAAAATTACTGTTTAATTATTCAGTGTTATATTCCGATTATATGGCACATAGTATATGACAGACAAAAAGAGAGCAAAGAGCTATAAGGCTTTCTAGACCTCTTCCTTCCAATTAATTGGATTATTCAGTGTGTCTAGGCCTAAGGTCCCCGCTAGTATAAATGAATAAATATCCAGTGAAGTCACTGGAGCTGATTCTATTTTTATCCATAGCCAATGTTTCTCTTCATGACAACTGCAGGAGACCTCCTTGCCTGGGTGCTTCCAGTCTTGCTCACAGTTCAATGTCCAGTCATACTCAGGTCTTTTAACAAGGCCTCCTGCATGTCAGTATGCTTGTTGAGTGTCACAGCCTAGGAACTCTGTCCTCAGAGCAATGTGGTTGTTCCACTGGCGGGGGTGTATCCTCACATATTGAGCAAAGAGTGGAGGGTCCAAGGTATTCACCACAGAGCTGATGTAGTCTTGATTGCCCTTGAAAATCTGAAAGGGAGAAAAAAATCTTTAGCACTCTCAAGGTGTTTATACAGGTACTCTGGGAGGTGTGGGGGCACTTTAATTAGCACGGCTCTCGGAGCTGCACTAATTAAAGGGGCCAAAGCATCACATGTATCAGCATCCCCAAGCTGAAAAATGGCAGCATGGCACTTTGAACTAAAGCTTGTCAAAAGAGCTTTAGTTTAAAGTGTCCTGCTGCCATTTTTCAGCATGGGGACACTGATACACATGATGCTGGAGGCTGCTGGAATGCATTCATTTCCACACTGGAATTACAGCATGTCAGAACAGGCTCCCTGCACATGTATAGGAGCTCTCACTGACCTGCTGACTTCCCCAGCAGGGAAAGATTTGGTATGGCCACCTCTTCACCTATGCAAGGCTCTGAGAATGTATTTTTGTTTAAATGGAAAAGCAAATGGTTGACATGCCACTGCAACACACTCACACTTGTACAGGAGTCTCTAGCTGAGGAGGCAAGTTTAGGATTGGAGCCCCTTATTATTGCTATGCTGAAAGGTGCTAATATCTGCCCTTCTGGGAATCTCAAACCAAAAGACATTCACAGACCTCATTAAAGTGAGGATATGGTAAGGAGCAGACAAGTCCCTTTATGTAGCAGGGAGAGCTACAACCAATGGAGGGATAGTCTATGCCTACAGCAGGTGGGAAGTCAGAGTTAAACCATGTGGGTTGAATGGTTTGCCTGCTTGAAAAGGCTGGTCTAGATGGGTTTTGTAGCTGGGCTATGTTTCAGAGACACAGAGCTGGAAGGAGGTGTGAGTATGACCCTGAGATAAAGCAGAAACATGGAGCTTTTTGGACATGCAGTTCACTGGAGAGGCAGACTGGGAATTTCTGGACTCAAAATTTTCTTGCTGCTGCTCCAGTGAGTTCAGGGAAGCAGGACTCTGTGCACAATTCTGTAAATTACACTGAGAACATACCTAATTTGTATCACCAAGTCCTCAGTCTATCAGGAACAACCATGCAAGGCCCCAAAGACTGGCTAATTGCTTAGGCAAAATGGACATTATAATCTTGGCAGCACATTGCTGAGAAGAGTCCTTGACTACAGATCAAGGAACTCTCCTTTGTTAAGTAAATGCAGCCTACTAGCCCCTTCCCAGATGTAAAGTCTATGAGCACCAACGTCTATGGGTGCCTATACATGAGCAGGGACATTGCTCCAATGTGATGTAATTCCAGAGCACTGGAGCACTCAACTAATATAGTCTTCTGGAGAGTGGCAATTACCACGCTCTAGCAGCCTCATATCTCATGTATCAGTGTCTCCACACTTCAAAATGGTGGTGGGGGCATTTTATCTAAAGCTTATTCAATGAGCTTTAAATAAAGCACCCTCACCACTATTTTGAAGCGCAGGGACACTGATACAAGAGATGCTCCAGGTGCTTTAAATAGAACAGCTCTCGGAGCTGCTCTAATTAAAGTCCCCTCCCCCACCAATCCCAGAGCATGTATATAAATGCTTCATGATTCCCCAGGATTTGCCTGGCTCTGCCTACCTTTTCTTTACCATCCTGAAGAACTGGAGACCAGTGTGTGCCATCCTGGCTGCTGGAGACAGCAAACTCCTTCACAAACATGTTGGTCAAGATAGTTTTAGAGCCCTGGGTTACAATTCCAGTCACCTTCTTGATCTTCCCAAAGTCCACCTGCAGCCACTCATTTGGGCTGTTCACCTGGAGAACAATAAAATGGCCTCTGTGTCATGGACTCCCCTTTGGAAGTATCCACTAAGCCAAGAGCAAAAGGTCTCCTCAGCAGTTCCAGCTTCTCCAGGAATTGCTATTTAGCCAAGATTGGACCCTCACATTAATCTCAGTGTGAAGTCAGGGAATTCATACACCACTGCCATTTCTAAATCATCATCCTTACACAGGTTTGCAGCCAGCTTTGGCAGAGGGGTTGTTCCAAGAATTCCCAAAATCTTTGTTAACCTTGTGTTGCCCTTGCTAGACTGACCCCACAGCTACTCCCAACTCCTAATGAAGGAGATAAGCCAAAAGTATGTGCTTGCTCCCTCCCTGCCTTAAGTCAATGCTTTCTCCCTACCCCATTTAGTATCCTGGCTGGCCAGACAACCCCATTTTCCTGCAGCAGTGAGTGAGTGGGTTACCTTTGGCCTCCAAGCATTGGTCCTTCCCTGCAGGTTAAGTCGAGCTTGGGAGGGAGGCCAGATGGAGAAGATTTTGTCACTGTAGGAGGAGGCTGAGATCTGCTGGTTGGAGATACTTTTATCCTCCATTCCTAAGGGCATGGAGCAGCCTGGAAAAGAGTACAAGCAGTGGGTGAGTAACTGACAATTCTATTAATGTCTCTTCTGGCTGTCCATTAGTCACATATGGTGGCCCACTGGCCAAAATTAAAAGGGGAAGCATCTGTTATCACAGTGAAACTAGCTGTCACAGTCCTGCTGGGCATGTCTTTTACCTAGCTATGACATCTGCCTTCCCTTTTGCAGGGGTGGGTAAAATGTGGCCTGCAGGCCAGATCCGGCCCACCAAGGGATTTTGTCTAGCCTGTGGGGAGTCCCTCGGTCCCACCCAGCCTAGGCATGAGGGGCAGCCTGGTCCATGGTGCATGCGGCTGGCCCTGCCACCCCTGGGCATGCGGCAGGACTGAGCTCACTTCCCAGCAGCGCTGGCAGCAGCAGCTCCTTCCAGCTGCCACAACCACTGGACCTGGCCCTACTGCCCGGGCACCCCAGCCCATCCGCCCCTCACCCACCACCAGGGGTAGGACCCGTGTGGGCAGGGTGCACAGCTCAGCAGCGGAGATGGGGCTTCAGGCTGGCAGGGAGTGGCATCCAGGAACAAGATGGGCAGGTGGGACTGGGGAGACCCTGAGATTTTGGGGCAGTGACAGCACAGGGCCAGAGCTAGGGCAGAACCGCAAACCACTGCCCACATGCCCCTACAATGGATGCCGGTTCTGTGGGCAGGAGCATACAGGGAGTGGATTGTGGCTCTGCCTTGGTCCTGATCCTGGCCCCAAGCTGTCACTGTCCCAAGATCCCAGCTCTGGATGCAGCTCCCCACCATCCCCCCACTCCCCCTCAGGTCCATCTCATCCATGCAGCTCCCGGCCAATCTCCATGGAGACCCTGGAACTGCATGGCAGTGACAGCGTGGGGCCATGGCTGGGGCAGAGGCAGGGATATGTGGGGAGTTGTAACAAGTGGGAGTCCCAGGGCTGGTCTGATCATTGACCTGCCCACTTGTCTCTAGGCACACTTTGTACGCCACACCTTAGATGATACAATTAATGGATGACAACAAGGTGGGAGACTACCCATTTACTTGCCCTGATGCCAAGGGCTTAAATACATGGCTCCAACCTTCCCTGTACCATGTCCCATGCCTCACAGATGGCATCCATGCTTTTCCAGTGCCTCACACTGGGGCCTGAGCTCCAGAGTCTCACATGGGACTCTCACTCCCCACTGGAGCTCATAGTCCCTGTGCCCTAACACTGGCCAAGCCCCTTCTCAACACTGGGCTCCAAGCCTCATTCCCTGCCCTACACTGGGCTGTAATCCCTTTATCCCTTTTCCCCAGGAGCTTCTCACATAGCTCCCCATAGGCTCAGGGCCCCACCCTCCTGGAGGCTCACTCCTGGCTCCCTTAGTGCAGTCTCAGATCTCGCCATGAGTCTGGGCACCGTCTCTGGCCCATTCACTTGGCCAGGACCGCGCCTCAGAACTCACGGTGAGTCTGGGCCCTTGTTTTGTCCTCCGGGGTGTGCTCCCCTAGCCTTTCCCCTCCATGGGCTCACCTGCAAGGCAGTGGAGGTTGAGGCTTTCTGGCACCCCATACTCATCCTTCACTGGGAAGGCCCCAAGGTGGGGCATTTCCTGGAGACTGTCCTGCCACCTGCAGTCCCACCACACCATCCAGCCCCAGCAGGGTGTAGTTTTAGGTCATACCCCAAGACCAGGAGCCTCCAGGCATCCCCATAGCTCCTGCCCTTACCTCCAAGGTGTCATGAGCTGCAGCTCTAGCCAGGTGGTGTTCTCCCAGCTGCTAGCAGCAGACTGCTGGCTTTGCTGTTCAGGGCTCTACCCTTATAGGGCACAACTGGGCCCTGTTCCCAGGCAGGCAGTTGTGCCTAATTGGGATTGCTACCAGCTGCAGGCTGCCTTGTTGCTGCTCACACCCTTGTAAGTAGCAGAGCACACCCTGTGCTCTGTTACAGGAGTGCATTGCAAATTTGCCCTGGCTCTGGCCCTGTGATCCTGGGGTCTCTATAGAGACTGGCTGGGACCCATGAGGGCAGAGTGGGTGGGCTGGGATGGGACTGTGGGCCAGCAAGAAGCAGTGCCCTGTTCCCCATCTCTGTGCTGTCACTACCTTGTGGGAGTAACTCTATCTCCTTGACTGAACTGGCAACTGATTAAAAACCAAAAGCATGGAGGGGTTCATGCTCAGTCTTGCTACTGGTGGAGATCAGATGCTTCTTCTTAGCTTAGCTGCTGTCATGGCCTCCAGCAGGAAGGGAGTTCTTACCTGGCTTAACATTGCCATGTTAGGGCTATAATGCCAGCCACAAGAGCCAGCTCTGTGCTTTCACGACATGTTGCTATCTATAAGCCAATACGAGGATTCTCCACCAATGTTTTGCTACCAGACCTCACTCCCTCTTCTTCCTCCAACAGCTAACCTTGGTATGTCTTACACTGGCCACATGGTCTGGCTTTGCAAAAGGATGGGCATCTCCCTCAGAGTTCTGTGTGCCCTTGACACTTACTGCAGTCAGTGGGAATTGAGAGTTCATCCCTTAAAAAAATCGTGACCTTCTCCTCCCCCACCCACGCTCTTTTGTTCAGTATCAGAGGTGCTCCCAAGTGGCCTTCTGGTGGGGCTTACTGTTCAGATTACAGCCAATCAACTCCATGCGCAGAGTGGGCCGGATGCTGTAGTGAGTGGGGTGGATGCGGATGTAGCGGGCTATGATTGGAGGGTTGAAACGATTGTCTTTCACCCCCACTGCATCCACATTCCCAAAGAACACCTGCAGGACAAGGGGAAGGAAGAACTCAGTGATACCAGCTTAGGCAGAAGCAGAAAGATAGAACACTGAGTGGCAAGAAGGTCACCCCAAGTCAAATATCTCTTGCCAGCATCGTTACAGCAAGACAATATCTCAGGGATTTAGCAAGAAGCGCAGTTCCACTGCATCCCAAGAATTCTAGCATACTAGAGTCACAGGACAACTCTCTCTTCTGTTTGCTGGAAGTTCTAAAAAAACCCAAAACAAATGAATGTGGAGCAAAATAAAACAACAGATTGTTTTGAAATTTCCAGTGAACTGAATGGTCAAAATATTGGGGGGGGGTTAGGGTTTTTAACATGTTTTCTTTTAAATAAAATTAAAACACAGTTGAACATTAGATAGAATTTTAAATCAAAACATTTTGGCCAATCTAGGTTTTTTGTTTTTGTTTTTAACTAAAAGCTATTTCTGAAATGCACATAATCTGCATTTTTTGCAAAAAGAATTTTCATTTGAACCTGAAATTAATCTGGGAGCTCACTGCCAAAGGATATTATTGAAACAAACAGGGTGCATCTACACAAGACACTAACTGCGCAGTAGCCTAATAACACTGTACAGTAGTGTGCTGGGCAAAAACCATGCTAATACTGCTATACTACATACTATGGTACTAAGCTACTGCACAGTAAGCATCACTAAAAATCCATGCGCCAGCGCTACTGTGCAGTAGCACAAATAACTGCACACTCATTTAGTACTTGGTTAACCAACTACTAAACTTAATGCACAGTAACTATGGTGCATTAGTGAATGTGTAGACATGTCCACAGTTTAGTAAGCTTAAAACTGATTAGAAACTTATATAGAAAAACAGTCAAATGAAGTGATGCAGGGAGGATCCAATTAAAACAGCAATGAATCCCCCATGCTTCAGGGCATAAGTTGACCAACTGATCCTGTTGGGTCAGAAAGATATTTTCCCCAAAGTAGCTCTCCCTAGTTATAAGAACTTGTAGGAGGTGAAAGGAAGGATGGAGGTTGTCTGAAGCATTAAGCCCTGGCTGCTGCAGGAGACATCAGACTTCAGATAATGGCTGATCAGTCAGGTTTGGGAAAATGTGATGTCCCTTTCAAAATCCTGCCCACTCACCATTTGGGAGCTGGTGGAATTCCCCTTGTATCTTTTCCATCTGTCCCCATCCAGGCTGTAGAATACGACAAACTGAGAGATGTAGAGGCTGGAAAATTTCTGCCGGGCCCCCTGGGTCTGTATACCATGAAGGATCATGATGCGCAGCAGGTCCACCTATGGGTGGAATACAGAGCTTTGAGTCTGATGTGCTAAACGTCTCTTATAGATTCATAGATGTTAGGGTCGGAAGGGACCTCAATAGATCATCAAGTCCGACCTCCTGCATAGGCAGGAAAGAGAGCTGGGTCTAGATGACCCCAGCTAGATGCATATCCAACCTCCTCTTGAAGAC